AGCCAAAGAAGTTCACTGAAGCAGATTTGTAGCTTTAAATATTTACACTAGGAAAAGAGAAAGATGGGAAGTAACTGAGCTCAGCATTCAAGTTCAAAAGTACACCACGAAGAACCCCAATAAGGAGACCAATAAGAAAGGGGAGAGATGATGAAGCAGAGAACAAACAGTGCCCCACTCGGGGTCCAAAGCAATAATGTTACAAACTCTCTGAGGTCGAGATTAATTCCGCAAAAAAGAGAGACGGCACAGAGGATATTAGAAATGAAGACAGCACAAAGGTCCATACTTTCTGAAATGCCCACAGCAAGCCACAGACTCTAATCCAGACGTGCATCTGCCCCAGTGTGACTCAGGCCTGACACATCCTCGGGAAGATAGCGGGGCTGGCGCTGATGACCTGGGATGCCCCACCTGGTTGGCCTGTGTCCTGGGGCAGGTGTGCAGGAAGCAAAGCAAGAGACCCAGGAAGGACGCCGAGGGCCCCTGAGAGCAGCCAGAAGCACTCTCTTCAACAGACAGCATCAGCCTCAAGTTCACCTCCTTTTTGTTCTGGAGGAAAAATGATCTTGAAAGGAAAAGTAATTATCAGTCTGTTTTTAAAGGTGCTCTGAAGCCTGTGGTAGACTCGAGAGGTTCTTAGTTTTGTTTTATTTTCTTCCATCCATGGCATATTTTAAAATCCTCAAAATCCTCACTGGTGAAGGTGTCCCTGCACCTGCTGTCTGACAGGGGTCACAGCATGGGGGATGCTACTGCGGGGCTTGGGGGATGCTACCGCAGGGCGGCACCATCTGGAAACGGAACCTTCTTCGGGAATGTTAAGTGTTTTGTTTATGATACTCGTGATATGGATAATAGGGCAGATGTCAATCCATAATAAAAGTACATGTTGCCTGAGATTGCAGGAAAACTTCCAGAATTAAGACATGCCCCAAGGTGCATTTCACAATCTCTCAGGACACAAACAATAGTGTTATTCCTCAAGAAATTCATGCAAAAAAAGATTGCAAATCAAGGTTCCTAAGAAAAGCTTAACAATTTACACTAAGCCCCCCGTTCTAAAGCCACAACCTGTGCAACATACATTCTCCCCACTAACAGACTCTCCTTTGCCTTACACAGGAATTTATGATGGGAATGGGAAACACATAGTTAATATTTTTTAAATTTATATATAACAGTGGAATGCGTCATAATTCTTATTACATATAGAAAGCACAATTTTTCATATCTTTAGTTGTATAGTTAATATTAATGGCAAATCAGTTGAGGTGTAGAGCCTGCCCTGTGGTTAAAGATTACAAAGACATAAGAATTGGTGTACTTAAAAAAAAAAAAAAAGAAAAAGAAATGGTGTACTTTGACCAAGGATCAAAGAAACTCTTTAAGAAGGCAATTAAATAGATCATATAGAAAAGGAAATTACATTGGAAATTAAAAATAGAATAATGTAAGATTAATATAGATATATTTTAGAGGCACTTCAGAGTAGTAGGCTTTTAAGTAGTAGGCTTTCACTATTTTAAGTGTGTTTTACTGGCTTTAGATTAGAAGAAAGCTTACCAATAATCATAGGTATGCTTTAAAGTTAAAGGTTAATGAAATAATTATAGGTGTGCTTTAAAGTTAAAAGTGAATATAGGTCAGGAGGCATGTGGTCTAGTTGTGTAGCCTAGCACCTAGTGATTGAGGTGAAAATGTAAAAGCTTCATCATGATTGGCAAAGGTTACAGGAAAATATTTTAAACAATGTACTCAATATCTTAGGTAATCAATGTATGTCAGAAAAGATTGTAACTCTTGAAAATTATGTAAATCAAAGAAGTTTCAGGCTTTGAGACTATCCATTAACTACCTGCAAAAATACCTGCAAAAAAAAAAAAGGTATAAAAATAAAGGCCCCTCTAGGGGCAGCAGATCCTTCTGGAGGCTGCTCGTAACTTGCAACCTGTTGTCCTGTCTCTTCTTCTTTCACCAACACCACTCATCCTTCAGGACCCCTGGCTGGGGCTGGACCCTGGCACTTCACATCAACCTTAAAGACCCCACCCTGGGCAGTGGAGTGCGACATTTGGCGGGTAAGGGCTCTTACTTGCTTGTCTGCTTTGTATCACGTTTAGTTGTGCGGTGTCTGACAACCAGATAAAGCTGAGACACAGATATGAGAAAGTCTACACTGGGGAAGTTGGAGGGAGGTGAGAAATTGACTGCCTTCCCTTGACACAAGTGGGGCGTTGGCTTGAAACCACCCTGCACTTGACACTGACTCTGGACTTAGCTCCTTGGAGGTATTTCCAGTTGCAAGCTGGGAAGAGAGTGGATGAGATCTGAGTGTTCATTTTGCAACATTTGCTCAAAGAGGAGAGAACCATTCCCTCCAAGAGAAGCAGCCCCTCAGCGGCCAGCCTGGCTAACTGTGGTTCCCAGAAACACCAAAGGAAACAAAATGTCATGCTGGCCAGAGGGCCGGCTAGGAACCAAAAACAAAAGTGCAACCTAGTTGCCAAGTGTCATGTTTCACGGACTTATCTGAACAACTTAGGTGCCACAAGGGGGAAGGAGCACCATTTCCCATCAAGACTGGATTCTAATCCAGTTTGGCTACATAAACTCTATGGGACCCTAGCAGGTCCTTTAACATCTCTGGCCTCAGATCTCCCTCCTATAAAGTAAGGACAATGACATCTCCCCCACAATGCAGCAAGGATTACGTACTATAGCCATATGGAGCCCATCTACTTGCTAAACTCTCTCAATAACCCCCCCCCCCGCCCCTTTGCATGATTCCTGTCTTAGACTCAGATCTATGAAAATTCTTGGGGTTCAAAATGTTAGCTGAGGATAGAATTGGCATGCCTTTCATCACCCTGACAGAATTTGAAAGAACAAAAAAAAAATGAATTGGTTCATATTCAAGAACAAAGGCAGCAAAATATTAGCCACACAGGACCCCAAGAGAGACTGAGTTATTTTGGATGGCTGAACTTCCTGAATACATGAAGAGTCAAAACATGAAAGACAAACAAGCCAAAAGAACACAAAACTATTTTGGATTTAAGAAATAAATTTCTGCCTTATATTTCAAAAACTTGTCTGTGGCTTTAAGAGGTGCATTCTGAATATCCTGGAAAATGTTTCATCATTGTTCTGAGCACACTGAGTGGTAAGCTGCTGATGACAATGATGCCATTGGTAGGATTGCCTACTTTTGCAAATGAGAAAGCTAAACCCAAAGAGGTTATGTGACTTAACCTGAGCCGCACAGTTTAGCTAGAGACCATGCCGTGACCTGTCTCCTGACTTTCCACCATTCCATGCCATGTTTAGGAGCCCCTGACCTTCATAAGACCACCTTGAAATAACCGGGAATGCTAGTAACCTGCAACCATATAATATTTCTGAAGTACCTGTCAGAGCATTAATGTACAGATTTTTATCTCTCACTTCTTTGATATGCAAGGATTATCTCACTCAAGGGTGTGTGCATTTTGCTTTTTAGGGCTCATTTTGCTCTTCATTTTTAAATGTCTTTGGGAACCAGGCTCCTCTGGTTGTCTTGGGAAGCAAGCATAACCAGCCCTGCTGAGTGCAGCGAAGCAGCCACCCACAGGGTGCAGCCCTGGAGAAGCACAAGCGATAGCACCCGCTCACCAAGGCCTCTCTCTATCCATGTCACTGTGAAGTTCCTAACAAGGAGACCACCACGGCTTACACAGCAGTCCTCAGCCCACCCAGGGATTAAGTAGAAATGAAAGGACCCCAAACACACACACACACACACACACACACACACACACACACCCCACACACCCCAGCTGGGTGTCATGGGCACTTCTCATAGGACCAGTCAGTATGCTAAAGTGCCCACAGTGGCCTTCTGGAACAAGTAGAACCTCAAGCATCTGTATCCCAACTCCAGATACATGAGGTCACCAACCAAAAAGCATTCATAGGGCTGGTCCTACCTCCCCATTCAGTGTTTCCCCACTATCTAAGTAGGTGCTTTAAAAATGTTTATAACAAAACTGAGATCAAGACTATTTTTTCTCCATTTACCTAACACATCCATTTTGTAAAAGTTAAGTAGTCAATATCCAATAAATGGCTTATCCCCGTGAGTTGGGCTCAATTGAGGCAGTTTCTGGGGGTATTACTAAATGCCAACCCATAAACCACACTGCCAGCCCAGCAGGGGGCAGAAACGGGGAGACCCGACCTCCAAAGGTGCTGCATGTACACACACCCATCCATGCAGGGGGACTAACCCCCTTCCCCCAATCCAGCAGCCACTTCGGGTGAAAGGGAGCCCACTTTGTAAGGCCTGCAGCCCGTCCTACTCTCTTCAGCAGGAAAAGACCGTAAACTTTGGTCCAATATTTCAGCTCTCCCAACTTCTCTCAGATGTCGCTCTTTGCCCCAAAGCAATTTTACCAAAGCCATTCTCCCTGGAGAGCCTTGACCTCTGTCCGTTTGCATTTCAAATAATCATTTGGGCCACTGGGAAAAGTTGTGCTGCCTTCAAACATTTCCCCTCTCCTTTGCTCCCTGGAGACCAAGAGCCCATCCAGACCTGGCAAGGTCACTTGCCCCAGAGACAGAAGTTCCCTGCCATGAGGAGACCCATAATCTCCAATCCTGCGTCAACCCCAACACCGTGCGCACGTCGGACGCGCTGCGCTTTGTTTGCCGCGCAGGTGTGTGGGAAGCTCTGTGATCGCTTCCAGGAGCGTTTCCTTTCACACCTGAAACCCAAGCATCTCTCCGTCACTCGCTGGCGGAGGAAAAGCTTTTCCTGGCCTGGCCACGCAGCACTTCCACGTGTGGGAGGCACGTGTTGGTGCCCCAAGGTAGCCAACCCATCCCTCCTGGCCAGCTTTTCACACCTGCCGAGTCGCGGGAACCCGGAGCGTCGTCTCTCCCGCCGGCTTCCCTGGGGCGACAGGCGCGTCCCGCAGAGACTCTAGGTCCCCGCTCTGTCGCCGCGGAAGCGCCCTTACCTCGCTGATGATGGTGGAGTGGGCCTGGGCGTAGCGCCAGCCGCCGCGGCACGGCACGAGGGGCGCGGAGCGGTTGGGGAAGGCGGCGAGCGGGTCTGCGCAGCTGAGCGCCCCCGCGGCGGCGCTGGCGTTGGCCGCCTCCAGGAGGTAGCGCTGGCAGCTGCCGTCGCCGCGGCGCTCGGAGGGCGCGGGGCCGCGGAGGGCGGGCGCCGTGCGGTTCCACTCCTCCTCCGGGCTCCAGCCGCAGCGCTCGGCCAGCGCCGCGGCGCTCGGCCCGCGGCACCAGTAGTGGTCGGGCTGGCTGCCTAGGAAGACCACGCCGACGAACAGGAAGGCGAAGGTGACGCCGGTCAGGCACAGCAGCAGGAACACGCGCCGCTGGAAG